TCACATTTGAGAACATGTCGTGTGTGCTGAGGCGGGAATGGCAGTCAGTATCTCTCAAACTAGGATGGAGATGTGAAGGGACTGGAGGGGGGGAAGGCCACTTGAGAGCAGGAGATCCTGGTTAGGAGCCAGTACATGGGCTTCCTGGGAATAACTGAGTGATTGCCAAGGCCAGTCGTCTGTATTCAGGGCCTGATGCTGACATGTACACTGTCCCTCTGTACTCCTCTATCCTCTCAATGCCCCATCCCTTCCATTCATAAAGGTGCAGGTGTTCCTCCTGCAAGGCATTGTGGGACAGGGTGCCCAGAGCAGTGTCACCTGTCCCATTAACCTCTGGGTTGAGCCTACAGAGAGAGAAAAACACATAGTCGAAGGGACAAGGCCCATGAGTCTGCAGCTCAGTGAGTGGTCCTGGAGGGAGGAGAAAGCTTTCAGCACACGGAGCAGCTTCCACGCTCCCAAGGAACCATTCGAGAGATTAAAAATAATAATCCATTTTAATTCCCTAACCCCCAAGCCCCCAGTTCAATTTAAATCTGTGGACGGGGCAATAAAGTATTTTTTCACGTAGAGAGAGCTTTATGTTTATCATCCCTCTATATTCCCTTTTATAGTCCACTAGAGGCCCGGTGCACAAAATTCGTGCATCGGGGCAGGGGGTTCCCTCAGCCCAGTCTGCACCCTCTCCAATCTGGGACCCCTCGGGGGATATCTTGATTGCCAGTTTAGACCTGATTGGACATCCCTCTTGCAATCCGGAATTGCTGGCTCCTTACCACTCACCTGCCTGCCTGCCTGATCACCCCTAACCACCTCTGCTTGCCAGCCTGATGACCCTAACTGCCCTCCCCTGCCGGCCTGAACCCCCCTAACTGCTCTCCCCTGCTGGCCTGATCACCCCTAACTGCTCTTCCCCGCTGGCCTGATTGCCCCTAACCACCTCTGCCTTGGCACCCCCCACCATGGCTTTGTCGGGAAGGATGTCCAGAAGATGTCTGGTCTAATTAGCATATTAACCTTTTATAAGAATAGATTTGCAGGCCAATCTGTATTCATGGCTGTTTTAAAACACACCCTTACGGCTAGTAAACTGGCCTTCCAGTCCGAATGCCCAGGCCAGCGCTTGCACAGAGGGTGTGACTCCAGGACGCTGGGCATGCAGACGCCTTTCTGCAGAGTCTCCCAGGCTGGCAGGTCTGGGCAGAGAATGTCTTCCCGAGAGAATGATGTGCATCTTATGAATCCTCGAGAGGCATTCTGAGTCTTAATCTTACAAGTCCATCTTTGTTTAGCAATTGGAAAGGATAATAAAGTAGACTTCCATGCTAGCTGAGCAGGTAGGCCAACACGCCGGCAGCTCTCGGGCGTGTAAAGTGCAATGAAAATCGCTCATGTCTAAAGGCATTTAAAGGCTCCCTTCTGCTTCACGCCACCTGAGGATGGTGCGGCTGCTCAGAGGTCAGGTCCGGACAGTGCATTTAGGGGGGAAAGTAGGTTTCTCAGGTCAGTAGGACACAGCATGGCTCTCACTTTTGTTTCAGTCCAACTGCTGTGGGGACAGAAATCATTCAATATAACCCATGACAGTTTAGGCTTATCATTTTAATAGGAAGATGAATTCCCTGCCAATATACATAAGTTAAAGTAATAGCCACTTACACAATCATTTTGATTAAAAGAAAAATAAGTTTAAAGAGTAAGCAGATTAGTTGAAACTCACAGCATTCATCTGAATCTTCGTTATTTTGAGACGTGTGTGGGAAATGCAATGTGGGATAAAAAATTAAGGCAGCTGAATGTTAGGTTTTTAAAACGCACTCTCTTCAAGTTTACCATGTTATAACTGGGCAGGTCCAAACCTGAGACTTGATGGGAATTTGTTAAAAAGGGGTCATGTGTAACATAAGCATCTGGGACTGACCTATGACCTCAAGCGCAGAGGTTAACTTCGATGAGCACGGCTCAGAGGGTCAGACATAGTGTCCAGCTTGCAAGGCTGGGCAACAAGAAGAGCCTGGGTCCATCGGGCAGCACAATGGGCGACCACAGGCCACAGGGCCGTTTCCAGAGCGCAGTGTCCTGCGGACGGCAGCTCAGAGGGAACCAGAGCCTGCTAGAGGAGATGGTGAGCTAAGCAGGTGACCTAGGAGCCTGTGTGTGGAGAGGGTTTCCAGGCGGAAGCCCCACTGAGGAGCTAAGCCAGTGAGGCAGGAGTCCTGGCTCTCGAAGGGCCTGGTGGGAATTCAGCTCTGGGCACAGTTCTTGGTAATGGGAACTGACTAGTGAAGAGAACAGGAGAACCTACTTGAAGAAGATCTGTCATAAAAACTCCTTTCTTTAGTAGGTGAGCATTCCCCAAATATCTCATGCTTCCTGCCTATATGATTCATAAATATACGAAGAGTGAAATGAAATTAGTATTAAGTGAAGGAATTAAAATAGTCTTAGACATAATCAATGCAAATGTGATATGGAAGATAACAACACTAAACATATATGATTGATTCAACTGAACTGAAAGGAGACCTATTTTTTTTAAAAAAAATCTAAAATATACAATATTCTAAGTAGAGTGAAGACAATGAATATATAGAAAATATATTCCATAAAAATGTTAGGAGGCACTCTATCAACTTAATAAAATATTAAAATGCAGCAGTTAAAATCAGAATTCTAAGTAACAATATTAGTACAATTCATATACACATATAGTCAAAATATTAGCATAAAATATCATTAATGAAAAGAATGTGGTTATTAAAAGATTTAAATGATTGAAAAACTCGTCATTTTCTACGGGGAGCTTCCGGGTTCAAGTAGACCCCACAGCTCATGTCCCCAAGGGCCAAGCACAGGCAGGTGCTTGTCCGCAAGATGCCCTGGCGTTGGGCTGTGAGCAGTGACGGCTGCGTGTGCAGGAGACTTGGGCCCTCTTACGAGGCAGCCAGGTGGGCACGGGACACAACCACGGGTGGGCAGGTGTGGGCGAGATTCCATCCTGCTCAACACCCCACACCATGGAGGAGCTGTTACTGCGTCTCTAAGCGAGACCTTGAGCCTCAGCGGATGGTAGAAGTGAGCCTAAGCCTTCGTCTGTCATCATCTGTGAGAGGAAGTGAACGGTTTATTGGACAGCATCCTCCGTGGCAACCTTCCCTCCCAACAGTGGCTCAGCGGGCAGCCAGCAGAGTGGGAAAAGAAGTAGAAACAAGAATGAGAGATGCGGCCTACAATGCAGTGGGCGGAGGGGAGGGGAAGGCATTGGGGAATGCAAATTCAACCTATTTGATCGAATAACAATGAAACAGCAAGAAACAGCAAACTTTAGAGAGAAAAAAACTGTGAGGTTACACTCATGGGGGAGGCGAACCCACTCTACCAGGCAGGCAGATGCTGTCTCACTGGGGGCAAGGACCAGGCAGGTGCACATGGACAAACTCTCTGGGCAAAAGGGTGGTGTTTCCTATTAAGTAACCATAGTCCTCGGGACGCACAGAAGCACTTAGTGAACCCAAATGCGGGGGTCACGGAAACACAGCGGACCTGGAAGGGCGTTGTGAGGACTCTGCGATTGTTCCAGCGATTTGGAGAGAGGACACACATGACCACCAGCAAGCCTCGCGGAAGGAAACACTGTTTATTTATGCTCCTTCCCGCCTCCACGTCCTCAATGAAGGGTCTAGAGTCTAGACTCTAGACAGACTGTGTCAAGGTCATTCTTCCCAAGATGTCACAGAATGGAGAGTGACTTCTGAATTAAATCTATTCCTTAAGCCATACTAAAATCCTTATATATGTATATTTCCTGCAATGGTGGAAAATAAATAGGATGAATCTGAAAATTTTAACATACAAAAATGTTATAAGAACTTACTATTTGTCTACTAGTTGTACAGTTCCAGGAAGAATACTATGTACTTTGCATAGGTTGAGTTATTCTATCTCCAAATACAACATGATTTTCACATGAATTTCCGTGTTTATTGTCTAGAGAGCCAGTTGTTCAGGACATTTAGAAAACTCTGAGTATCACAGCATTAGAACAAACAGAAAAGCAGATGGACCCACTAAATTTATTCTGAAAGAGCGTGTCGAAGGTGAAGTGCTGATCGAACTCTGGAGACACTTTGCAGAACGGTGAGGGTCAGAAATGTCTACGGATAGAAGACATGGTGTAAGTCTGAAGCCGACTGTTACTGTACATTCCCTAAACAGTAAAACCAACTAAAAACAGAAGTTTGTTTTGCTTAAATATTTAACAAAAATTTATTGCAAGATATATTTTTCACTGAATTTCCAGTTTCAGAGAACATGGTACAAAACATAGTGCCATCAGCTTTGTCTAAACATTAAATAGGTGCAAATACACAAAGATTAAAAAAATAAACAAAAACCAAAGAGCATACTTTACAACATACATTACAGCCCTATAAATATATTTTATGTACATTATACATACTCTTAAGACATCGACTTAATATACAGCATATATTGTATTGATTTGAAACGATTCAGTGCCTTGATGATATTCTATGTCGGAAACTAAGAACTCATTTGCATCCTTGGACTTGGAGTAAGGGCTTTCCTATCCGCGAGGCATGGTTTGGCTGGCTTCTCCCCACCATTCAACGGGCAGCGACCCCCTTGGATGAGCACCCACGCACACAGCCACCGTTTTCACTGATTTCTTTCCCTTTGACGGTGTGACTAGAAGAGGGGCTGGAGCGGGATGACGGCAGGGTGGGGGGCGAGCAGGGAGGGGAAGAGGGCCTGGGGCAGAGGGGGGAAGGCCAAGGGGCTGGGAGGAAGGACCGAGGCTGGAATGATGGGCATCGGGGGAGGTGTGACTAACGTGGGCGGGTTCCCGGGACAGAGCCTGGTGCCCAGGTGTCCTCGTGAGATGGCAGTTTGAGGTAAGGATGTCCTGGTGAGGGACGGGACCTGGGACAGGAACCCTTGGTGCGGCTGAAGCATCTTCAAGGTGCCCGTCTGATGGTGCAGGACGGTGTGGTGGATGGTGGTGACCGAGGTAGAGCTTAGGGGCGGCTGCAGGGGCAGAGGTTGCAGAGGCGCGCTGGGCGGGGCCAGGGCCGTTGCGGGGAAGGCGAGCTTGACCTTGTGGGCCAGCAGGCCCGGCTGGAGGAGGTGCTGGTAGACCTCGCTGGGGAGGGCTCTGAATTTGTCAGGGGTTTCTATGGGGATCAGCAACGCCTGCTCGGGCAGAGCCAGCGGAGCCAGGATTTGCTCCGTGGTGACCAAGGCGTGGCCACTGACCTGTGCTTCTTTGAAGGGCAGCGGTGGGTGAGCGTGAAGAATTCCTGAAGGCAGACACAGCCACTCGGGGGAGGCCTCGGCCGTGGCCATCTTCCCCTGGGGGAGGGCCTGGGCCAGCTCCAGCTCCTGGTGGCAAAGGAGCGCCTTGGGCGGGGGCTGCTGGCAGGTCTTCTCCGCAGGAGGCACCTGCTTTTCCCTGATCTGCACAGTCTGGCTTCCCTCCTGGCGCCCCAGCCAGGCGCCGGCCACGTCTTCCTCTGCGGGGGTGCCAGCTGCAGGGACAGAGGTGGGCTCATCGGACACCTCGGGCCTCGAGCCAGAGGGGGCCTCGGCGACCACACGCTCAGCTCCCCCATCGCTTCCTGAAGGAAGGGGGCTGCTGGGGCGTGAGGTCAGCTTGTGTGTTACGGGGTCTGTTTGCTCTGAGCTCCGGTCGACATTTGCCATGTCTTGTGGGTTTAGTTCCTCTTTTGTGTCTGCGCTTATCAACCCGCCTGGCTGTCCTACGGGAGAAGCCGCCTTCCCGGGGTGGTCTGCTCGCTCCCTGAGCTCCAGGGCTCCATGTCTGGGGCGGAACCGGCCTCTTTTCCTCCTCCGTCTCCTTCTAGGCGTGAAGGGCACGGGAGCTCGGGGTGGCGCCCCAAATTCTCCCGGTAAAGCATGCTGTGCGTTTAGACTTTCATCCGAAGAGGGAGAAGATGAATGTGGTCTTCGTTTTCGATAACATCTTTCGGCTTCACTGATGAGAGAATTATAGCCTCGCTTGACGGCCTGATTCGGGGGCACACCTCTGGTGGCCTTTGGAAGAAAGACGCATCCGTGGTCCTGACCACAGCTGGGCACCGTGGCTTTGCAACTGCAGGAAGTTCTGGAGGGTGTTAAACTACATTTCCCAGGATGCATCATTGTGGGACTGGACTGTCCATTTAAAACAGTTGAGTTCTTTGTCCAGTGATTTTTAGAACTGATGTCGTCATTATGATTGTATTCGGCGTTCCACGTTTTCCACGTTTCTTTATTTTCACGTAAGAACAGAAACGCTGATGTGGGCTCTTTATCAGGCGGTTGATGCGCGTCTAACAGTGGCTCTTCAGCTGAATCCCGCTTTTCTGAAATCGCTTCCAGCGGGTTTTCCCTCGCTGTGTCGGTGCAGCTATTTCCTGTCTCCGTTCTGAAGGGAGTTGATTCTTTGGCTTTCTCCCCACGATGGTGGTGACATAACTTCCTTCGTTTTTTCTTTCTTCTACTTTTATGGAACCCGTGTTCATGCGTATCTTTCAACCTTGTTTTGTGGCATTTCTCATGAGTATTCTGTTTTGTTTGTTTTTGAATAAAATGGTATCTTTTTGTTTTTCTGCTCCTACAGGAACTATGTTTATACCTCTGATCTATATTCTCATTTCCTCCAGAATCACAACCATTGGAGAGAGCATCTTCAGCCAGAAGAGGAGTGACTGGGGCGGATTCGTTTCTGCTTTCTCCACCGTCATAACCTGTGGGGCCTGTGGCAGCGCTGCCCTTGCAATCCCAAGCCGGCCTCTTGCAAACGTCTTCCTTCTGCTGGGAACACAGGCCACTGAAGGGCGGCTTGTTTTTCTCTAGGTGGTTGTGCACTTTAGTGGACTTAAAGTCAAAACAGAGAGGGTTGCAGCTGTAGGAAACGGGTGGCTGAGCAGTTGTGTAAACTAGCATTTCCGACGGCCACTGAAGAATGGTGGACCCGTCTTTGTTGAGCACAGGAACAAAGGGCTCACAGGGCCTTTTGGAGAAATCTGGCGTTTTACGTGAAGTGACAGTGCCCTCTTCAGAAAGGGAAGGCGCCAGCCTCTCAGGACCACGGGGTTCAGTTTCAGCTTCGATGGCGGGTGCTGCATTGTCCTTCGCACTTTCCGCTGGGGCCGCTGGCAAAGCCATGAGGTCGGCAACCCAATCTAGAGCTGCGCCCCTACTTCCTGACGACTCGGAATCGGCAAGACCCTCAGATATGTCTTCATTCATAGCAACATCTTCCGTGGGTGCTGGATCTGCGGATGCCACCGAATTTTGGCAATGGCCTGCATCTGAAGACAAAGGGAGTTGAAACTGGCAAGAGGAAGGTAATAAAAATGTATCTTTTTCACAAGCAACTTCTGTCATCTCTTGCTTTGGAGCCTTTTCTGTGCAATGGCACGTGCCCTCGGGTGGAGGAAGAAAGGGAGCCTTCTCCTCGGGGCTCAAGAGCACGTCTGTCGGTGAAGGCAGCTGCAGAGGACAAGGACCGGGGACAAACCGACTTCGCCTACCCAGCCCTCGGTCCAGGGAGGCATCGTCGCTGCTCTCAGCGAAGGCTGCGGCCGAGGACTCCAGCCTCAGGGACGCTTTCTTGGGAAACGCGAAAGAGAAGCCAGTCCTGTGTCCGTGAACGCCCTGGGCGCGCTCCCCGAGCTGATGCGTCTTTGCAGAATGACGTGCACTCCCTGGGTCTGCAGCCACAGCGCTCACCTCTTTCGCAGGCTCTTCACTGGGACCCAAAGGACACTTGACATCCTCCTGGCTGTGAAGTGAATCCACAACAGCTCCCTGGGGCAGGCCATTACGAGTGTCTCCCACCATCACCGTCGTGGACTTGAACATGGGGCCGCTTCCGGGAGCACTGCAAAGAGCAGCAGGCGTGTACATTAGAGGGGGCGCGTTCGGGAAATACTCAAGCCTGTTCACCTGGGAAACATCTCTGTAACATTTTCCCCAACACTCTGAACCTCCGGGAAGGAATCACCGCCATCGGCTCAGGTGGCTTCCAGGGGCAATCGCATGTGTCGGTCACTGTGTGGGGTAACGTGGAGGTGCTGGCAGGAAGTAAGTGGGATAGCTGTTTACAGCAAAGGCCAGCGTAGCCCCAGGCTCTCAGCCAGTGCCCTTGGCCAAGACTGTGTACCCCTGTAATCTCCTCAGTGACACTGCGAAGTATTGCAGAATTTTCTAAAATGAAATTACTTTTAATTCACAAATACTTAACATCAGTAATACTACATGGAGATTATGGAGGGAATTAAAGAAAAACCCTCCATTATATATTTTTATTTATTTTAGAGAGGAAGGGAGAGGGAGAGAGAGATAGAAACATCAATGATGAGAGACAATCATTGATTGGCTGCCTCGTATAGGCCCCACACTGGGGATCCAACCTGCAATCTGGACACTTGCCCTGCCCAGGAATTGAACCGAAACCTCCTGGTTCCTAGGTTGACGCTCAACCACTGAGCCACGCCGGCCGGGCAAAAAAGGCCTTTCTTTCCCTTTGCTGTGACTTCCCACAATTTATGAGAAGTACCTGGTAATTAAACCCCAAGGGAAGCACGGGAATGTGAGTCTTATTCTGATACAGAAATAAATAAATGTCTCCTTTATGTCTATATTTTTCTCTCTGGTTTTGTCATTACATTTTAGGAACAGGTGCCCGCTCCTGCACACTCACCGTGCGGCTTCCTTCCTCAGCTCGGCCAGCCGGTGGAGGCGCTGGAGGGCCTTTGCCTGCTTCCTTTCATCTTTCCTGGACTTAGAGGCTACGTTTCGAGCGAATTCCCTTTGCTTCAGTTCTTTGAGCCTCTATTGAAAAAACAGGGAAAGGTGAATAGTATTTGGGTCGATGACAATGTTCAAGTTGCTATTGTTTCTATTGTTGAACTTTTCCAATACATCACTTTGTTTAACCTCGTTTAAGGAAAACACCACGTTTATGACAACCCACTTCAGACAAAAATATTTTCTGACCCTTCTGGCTTGAGAAAATGCCCAAACATATTGCTGTATTATATGAAGAGATCTCCCCACGCCGTAGGTGAGAGGAACCGAAAACTTGCATTGCTGCTCCTTGACCGTTTTCTGCAAAGGTTCTCCACCTAATTCAGACAAACGGTGGGAATCATGCAAACCCCTGATTCTCAAACAAAATTAGCGTGTGTATTTCAGTTATAGACAACATAGGCATCTGGTAGTTTTATATGTTCTAAAGAGAGTAAATGCCTTACATTAACTCATAAGATAAATGGCCTTTACTAAAGGCATTTAAAACAATCCCTCCTCTCACATATTAGGTATATTTCCCAAATAATTCTAGATATGAGAATAAAATTAGTAATGTTTTGTGTGAACTCTTTTTACATTAGGTGTATTTTTCATCTGTATTAACGGGCTCCTTTTGGGCATTTAAGGCTAGAAAGATTATGTCAACTGGAACAGACTCGGTAAACAGCATGTGGCAGTATTTAAGAGACACCAAAGTGATCCCATGTCCCAAATAACTCACTACAGTCTTTCACAGTCACAGTGTATCGTTATTAAAAATGATTAAGGTACTACATCTTCTCATGAAGCTCATGTCATTATCCAATTGTGGTGTTGAGTAGCCTTAGAGCAAGCCTCTAAGAGAATAAAACATATATTAGTCACATTAGGAAGTGATTGAACAAAGTTTTAATAAATGCCTTACACATATACGCTGATGTGTGCCAAGGCTTAGGGCAATGCTTGGTGTATTGTATGACTGTATAATAAGTATTTGTTGATTTATATGTGAATCCTTTTAGATCCTTCAAGTGAGGAATTTTCCTCCCTCAACAATTGAAATAATACTAATGAAATAATATTAGACTCCTGGGAATCCTGAATTGTATCTGCTTAATTTCACCTGCATAGTATCTTAGCTTAAGCTTCATGTAAACTTTAATGTTTAATTGATGGGATTTCTATAAGATGTGCATAATTATTTTAAAAATTATTTTAAATATTTTAAAATAATGATTTAAAAACAAAGTGTTCTGTTGATCTCAGTCTTCCTCTCTGTACACAATTCCCTCGTCTCAGTGACAGCCTTCCTGATAAAGTGAAGCAGCTTGCCTCGTACTTAGGGCATAGCCAGCAACGGAGCTCATAGGCCTGTCCAAACACGTTGGTTAGTTTTAGGCTAGAATTTATCCGTCTTTGTATCCTTTCTTGTATTTTTCTGCAGCAAAAATAAAGTCCTATGTCGTAGGAGAGTAATTTTGAAAAGTAAATAGTAGAAACCAAGTAAATTCTTTTGAGAGTGCCAAATAGAAAGAAAACTTAAGTTCCACACAAATAAATATACAAGATAATAGCAGTGAGGCTTTATGGAAATGTCAATGCTATTTCTAAAGCTTCCGCAACAATTTATTGAGAATCACTCAAAAGAAATCCTTACTGATAAATGTCAAGACAGGAATGGCAATCAGCAAGAATTAGAAAATTAGAATGCTGAAAGGAGTTAGTAGAAGGATGTGGTCTAGCTACTGTATCACAAATCACATTATAATGCACACTGGCAGATAATTCAATAGATATGCATGTAGAGAAAGGAAAAACCTAATGAATCAATATTCTCTGGTTATGATGCCATCTCAGAAGGCCCACTCCCCTTCCCGCTGACTTCCTTGTACTAATCTTTAGAGAACCAAATGCCACAGGGCACATAGGTCGTCAATCTCAAACATGGTCTCGGGAAGTCCACGGTGTCAGGTGTCGGATTGCTGGCAAAGTTACAATGGTCCTGCCTTTACATTAGACTGGCAAAGGTTTAATCAGCGTAAAAAGAGGGACAGAGAGAGAGGCACTGACTCATTTAGATAACTCATCATTAAACTTTTAGGTAAATTACATTGCTTTACAACTGCAAACCAGAATTTCACCAACATTCTTATGTCTATATTTTGTACATCTATTTATACCCAAAAGGTAGGTGGTTGCTACAAATAGAACTATTGGAATAAAAGTTACACATGTGTACTTTTTTAGGTTTTCCAAAATGCTGTTTATAACTGTACACCATTTTAAACTCTTCCCAGGAGTATATGAGTATACTACAAGTACGGCACACAGATTCGTGCACTGGTGGGGTCCCTTGGCCCGGCCTGCAGGGATCGGGCTGATACCGCCAAGGGACCCCACCAGTGCATGACTGGGGCCGCGGGAAAGCTCCAGGGCATGTCTGGCCAGTCTTGCCCAGTCCCGATCATCCAAACCACAGCAACAAACTAACCTACCGGTCAGAGCATCTGCCCCCTGGTGGTCAGTGTGCTTCATAGTGACTGGTCAAATGGTCGAATGGTTGGACACTTAGGTTATTAGGCTTTTATTATATAGACCAGTGGTTCTCAACCTGTGGGCCGCGACCCCTTTGGGGGTCAAACAACCCTTTCACAGGGGTCGCCTAAGACCATCGGAAAACACTTATATTATTACATATTGTTTTTATGATTAATCACTATGCTTTAATTATGTTCAATTTGTAACAATGAAATTAGGAGTCACCACAACATAAGGAACTGTATTAAAGGGTCGTGGCATTAGGAAGGTTGAGAACCACTGATATAGAATATCGTATCCAATGTTGGGTAGCATCACTGTTAATATATTTAATTGATAGTCAATAAGTGATGTATCTCCTGACCAGTGTGATTCAATGACTGTGCATCAACCTATGAACCAGGAGGTCACGGTTCCATTCCTAGTTAGGTCACATGCCCGGGTTGTACGCTCAATCCTCCGTGTGGGGTGTGCAGGAGGTAGCTGATCAATGATTGTCTCTCATCACTGGTGTTTCTATCTCTCACTCCCTCTCCCTTCCTCTCTGAAATCAACCAATAAAAATATATTAACAAAGGAAGTGATGTATAATGAATACTTTGCCTATAATTCACATGTTTAGCAAGATGGAATATTTTATATACATATTAGCCATCTGTAATTATTTAGAACTGATGTTGTTTGATAGAATTTGTTAAGCAATATTATATTCATTACTTTTATTGAAAAAGAAACATAGGAGCAGCCAAGCTAGCATTGCTTCCTTATTCAGAGAAGACAACACTGAAGTTAAGGACATTATAGAGGCGTGTCCTGAGCCACACGCGAGCGGTAGAACAGGCTGGGCCCTTGGTCACGGTCTCAGCAATGCGTACCTTCACTCACCAGGGGCGACCCGCTGAGTGCCATCTGCCAGCAGCAGAGACAACCCAGCCCCACCCGGCACCATTAGTGAGGGTGTCAGCCAGGCGCCCGGGGGCAGGTGATGGCATTGGGCAGCTTCCTTCCTGAAAAGGGCAGCATTTTGGTCTTCCAGGAATAGACATAACATTGGATACAGACTTGTCTTCCCTCCATGCGATGCTTATGTCAAAACCGCAATCCAGAAGCGTACGGATGGGTGGAATGCCTTACCCATCGTCAGGGGGTTCCATGTGCACTGCTCTGATCGAAGGGTGGCTGGTCTGGCTGTGACGGTGTGAACACTGCCAACTGCCTTCCCTGATTACACTCTCTATTTCACTAACAGAACTCAAGCATTGGGGGAGAGGAAGGTACTCAACTAAAACAATAAAGATCGCAGCCTCCAGTGTAAGTAAGAGTGGCTCTGTGACCGTTTTCACTACCTGAATGATAAGCATATATTGCTGAGGCGGATAACCCTAAAAACAAACAAAAAAAAAGTCAAGTCTCAGGAGAGAAATTCCCTTCCTGTTTCTTTAACCAGGTTTGCTTCCTACCGACGTGCCATTGTGAGTCCTAGGTGAGCAGCAGCCAGCTTTCCGCTGCGAGGCTGCTGTCTGACAGCGAAGGCCTGGATGATAAGGTTGACAGAGGAAGACAAACTCCCTGCAGCGTCACTACAGACCCGGGCAGAAATTCGTGCACAGGCAGGGTCCCTAGGCCTGGCCAGCGAGCAGGGCCGATCGGGGCCTTCCACCTGCCGGCCAGGGCCTTCCTTCGTTCCGTGCCACCCCCTGGTGGTCATCGCACGTCATAGTTGCTGGGGTCCAACCCCAGCAGGTCCAGGGGTCCCCAAAGGTGTGGACGGAGTTGGCGAAGAAGGAATGACACGGAGACAGCGTTCAGTTGATCAGCAGCCTTGCCAGGATCTCTAGCCACAATCTCCAGCCAAGTTCTGTGTCCATGTTCTCTT